ACAGAGCTAATAAATGTTTTTGACAGGACTTGAATTTGGGTAGGTCTTCCTGACACCAGGTCTAGCATTCTATTAATTATACCACCTACCTAGCTCCTTATTTCTTTATTACTTAATCACTGGCTGCTTATGGGTAATCTGTCCCCAAACCTCAGCTCCATTTTCTTGTACCCTCATCCTCCTCAACCCTACCCTTCTCACGTTTCATTCCAATTATGCCTCTCCTTCCACTTTGCTCTCTGAAATTCCTGTTTCATAATAAACAAACTTCCTTTCATTTTGGATCTCGTCCTCCAATGCTTCTTGTATTAACATGCATTGAGACCCGACTACCCCCAGATGACACTGCACCCCTGGCCATCCTCTCTAGCACCAGTTGTACCCTATTCTCACATCCCTCTATTCACTGGTCCTAGAGAAAGAATCAGAATACTCCTTCCTCCCCTCACTTGACACTTTCAGATTCTTTCTTTGAAGTCAATGCTCAGCAACCCTCCTCCTTTGAGGTTCATTCTTATTTTTGTTCTCTTCTGCAATTCCTGCCCTTACACTAGGGGATTTCAACATTGGTGACCAAACACCCTCATCACCCAGTTCTTCCACCTCTTCAAATGCTATGAATTCAAGCACCCCTCCCTCCAATCAATCCTCCATAGCTGCTAAACTAATTTCCTTTGAGCGCTGATCTAACCAGGTCATTCTCCTACTCAATAAACTACAATAAACTCGATATTGTCTCCAGGACAATCCTCTGGCATTTAAATTCCTTCACATCTGATCCCAGCTTATCCTTCTGGCCTCAAAATACATGACTCTCATTCCAGAACTCTATAGTTTAGCCAAATTAGCCATTCCTCATGCCTGGTATGCACTTCATCTTCAGCCCCACCTCACAGAATCCTTCTTCCCTCAAAGATGCCGCTTAAGCACAACCTTCCTCATAAAGTCTTTCCTGGCCTGCCTTTGAAAACTACCTTATGTTGAACAATGTTGTCTGCATTTGCTTATAGAAATATATCCCTTAACTCTGTATACTACTGTGAAAGAATGGAAACAACAGAATCTTAGTTTCTTCAAAGTAAGAACTGTTGCATTTTTTTTTGTATTTCTAGCACCTAACACAGTCCCAATTACACAGTAGGTGATTAATAAATGTTTGTTGACTGATTGGGCAAGCCTGAGAACACAATAATTATATACATATTTTTATATGAAGAAATGAGTTCTGAATTTCAGACAGTTGGTTTATAAACACATTTTTGCTACAAAAAAAAATTATTTGGAAAATGGAAATTGTAGTAGCATATAAAATGTGATGATGCCAACACTTTTGTTTAGACATAAATCAATCATTTAATAAACACCAGAGACTACCTGGTTGAAGGCAGAGTAGATAGAAGAAGGAACTCAAAGTCAGGAAGACCAAGGTTAGAAGCCCACCTCTGATACTGATTATCTGTGTGGTGGTAGGCAAGTCACTTAACCTCCCTAAATCTTAGTGTCCTCAATCATAAAAATGAGGGGTTGGATTAGACAGGATCTAATGTTCTTCATAATTCTAAATCTATGATCCTATGATGTCTCATCCCCATGGGTTCCAACAGCCAAAGAATAAAAACCAAGAGTCAAAATTCTTCCCCGAGGAGAGTAATGTTTTTTACAAATAAGAACTGAAGATCCATTTATCAAAGACAAATCTCTGCCTCTCCCTCTTCCTCTCTGCTTCTATTTCTCTCTCCCTCTATGTCTCTATCTCTATCTCTGTCACACGCATACACATGCACATACCCCTTTATGCTACATTTGGTTTCTCATTTTGTAACTGTCTGGCCTCAGCAGGTAAAACCATTCCATGGAAATAAAATGCTCGCTTAAGAATTCTCCCTTATAAATGAGCTAAGACTAAATTATTTTGGAAAAGTAAATCAAGTTGCTGAATGTATCTCCTCTGGGCCTAAATTTTTGCTATATGTAAAATGGAGGTAATATCTACTGACATATAGTACAACACAGAAGAATGTGGTAAGAATAAAATAAGATGAGAAGTCAGAAAGGGCTTCAAAAAAAGCAATGAAGCATTGTAACTATCAGTATGGAGATTTGTTCTGAAGCTCCTGGATTTGGAAGGAATTTTTTAGTTAGCAGATATTTCAGTAAAAAAAAAAACCTTCCTCTTCTACCCCACTGCCTCCAGACCTAGAGAACACAGGCTTTCAAAGCAGTACTGAATACAATATACACAAAATAGAGGCCTGTCCATCACCTCCATCTGGTTTTTTATCTCAGACCCCGGCAGGAATCTGAAATTAGAATCATCTCTGAAGAAATTTGGCTCTTGTAATAAGATGAGCCCACATTAACATTAAGACTCATGACCCATCTAAGTGACTCACACAGGACTCCTTTATGACAGGATGGATCCACCAGCAAGGGATGAAGCCAGCTCCTATATGAGGTGAGTCAGCATCATGCCATGATATTTAACAGGTAGGGCAACCATGAGGGCCCTCAATCCACATTACCCGAGAATGATGGAAATAAGGTTGTCCCTACTTTATACAAAACAAGGGTGGATTCAGGCACAGATTGATTAATGATTCCATGAGCCAATATCTGGGAGTGAAAAAGGTTTACATCCTTGATATTAAAAACAATCTTGTTTATGGGTTTTCTGTTTGTTTGTTTTTAACAGAAACAAAAAAAAAACCCTTTATTGTTATTTTGACTGTCACAAGACGGGATAGCCTCTGCGCATTACAAGTTGCCTAGCAACATCTCTCAGACCTTGCTAAGCACCAGCATTCATTTCAGAGTTGCTTGAGGAGCTGAACATTAGTTTTTTACTGTTTAACAAGGTTAAACAACCAGAAGATGGAATTTACAGTACCTGGCTATGACTGAAGGTTTACATGCAATACAAAAACTCAATCCAGTGCCTCATTCTGCATCACCAAGTCTCAAGTTTTCCTTTTGGGAAGGATCATCTTTTGTACTTTGGCATATGGAAAGAAGGAAAATGTCTCATGCATTATACACAGCTCCAGTCCCACAGGAAGAACAGCTTGGTATAACATGCCATAGGCAGTCCTAAACATCTGACTTCTACATTATCTCCCATGTCTTCCCTGGCTCCCCCAACCCTCATCCAGAGAATATGTAGGTTTATCCTCAGATGAGTAAGAATGGGGCATATGAAAAAAGAGCAGAATTCCACCAGCCACGGAATAATTTACAAAAACATTAAGATAGTCTTTTAGCCTAATCTATTCCTGCTAAGAGACTCAACACTATAGCATCCAATCTTCAAGATTTGCTCAGAAGAGGCAGGCAGGTGGCACAGTGGATAGAGCACCAGCCCTGGAGTCAGGCAGACCTGAGTTCAAATCGAGCCTCAGTCCAAACACTTAATACGTACTAGCTCTGTGACCCTGGGCAAGTCACTTAACCCCAACTGCCCAAAAATAAAAAAAAAAAAGATTAAAAAAAAGAAAAGATTTGCTTCAGAAAGGTGGTAAATGAACTGATGCAGAGTAAAGTGGGCAGAACCAAGAGAACTTACGAAATAACAATCACATCGTAAAGACAAATAACTCTGAAGGACTTCAGTACTCTGTTCAATGCAAGAAACAACCACAAAGACTATGGCTGGACTGATGATGAAGCCCCTGTACATCTACTAACACACAGATGCTGTAGTCAGAGTGTAGAATGAGACACATATTCTTAGAAAGTGGCCAATGTAGCAATTTGTTTTGTTCAACTAGACAGACAGATAATAGAGATATAAAGATATATTTATTACAGGAAGTAGGAGAAAAAATATAGTTTCGTTCACTGAAAAAATTAAATGTGATTTTTATAAAAAAGAAGTTGGTATATGTTGCTGGGAGGCAAGTAGTAAAGTAAATTGGATTAGGTAGTAGCTATTTTTTATTATGTGGCTAAGCTCTACAAATCGGTCAATTACTCTTAGCACATTTCAGTAATTACTGCAACCAATACATTTAGAAAGGATGCAGCCAGTATACTGCCAACACATTGTTACTGGAAATTTTCAAAAGGCAAGAGATAGGAGTTAAGTTCTTAGATTTTTTTTTTAAAAAGGGTTTTATTGTTGTTTTTCATCAAGAAAGAAGGCTAGAGCACTGGACTGGGCATCAGCACCTCAGAAGGCACCTTGGAAATCACTGGGTACAAACCACACTTAAACAATAAACAACAAATCAAGGGACCTGAACCAGCATTCGGAGTCAGGTGCTTGCTACCTGCATGACCTTGCCACATCACCTCTCTAGGTCTCAGTTCCCTCATCTCTAAAATGAGAATTAGACTAAGTGATCGCAAAGGTCCCTTTCAGTTCTAAATCTTTAAAAAAAAAAAAGGGGGGAGGAGGGGAGAAAAGAAATTTACATAACTTTAAAAGAAATAGCAAGCTGTACATAATAGATTTGCTGTTTAAGGTACAATCTTTTTCTTTTAATTATACTATGTTACAGAAGTACTTGTTTTATCCCATAAATTAAAAATAAATTTAATTTTTAAAAAAGCTCTAAATCATATGGTTCTACATAATTTCAATCCCCAATACGACCTATTTTTGTACTCTTGAGAGGCAGTGTGGCATAATGCACATGGAGCTGGATATAGAGACGGTGAAAACATGAATTACTGTAAATCCTCTTTCCGCTCACTGCACAGGAGTGTTTTATCAGTGTTAGTAAAGGAACTTCCTCATTGGGAATGCCTATATCAATGAAATTATCTGGCTGGAGGGAAAAAAAAAAACAACAACACAACATTGCAACAGGAAGTAAATACATGTGAAAACATGCTCCAGGAAGGAGCTGCATTAGAGCGCCCTGAACTAAAGAAATCACATTATATAATTAATTTGTTATAATGCATACAATGACAGGAATCTCTAGGTTGAACTAAACAGTACTATCTATTAAGCTAGCTTATACTAAAGATGTTTTGCAGGTGATAAAGGCAGAACCTACCCTCCTCTGTGATGGCGTTGATTATGTATGGAGATCTTATATGGAAGTGCCCTTTCACCCAGGTTTTCCAAATTTCTCACTACTGCCCCTTTATCCAGTAGGGCTTGAATCGTGCGCTTCAGGGCAGTGGCGGTCTCTTGCTGTTAAGTTTTAGAAGAAGACAGAAACACAGTTTACTGCTTCGATCAGAAGTAACACAAGAAACTTCTTAAACACTGACATATCCATCCCAATAGACATACACACCAATGGATGTACATCCCAATGTAACAATACAAGATTTTGAGTTATGATAAAATAAAATGTCCCAGAACATGAAGAAATTATTCTTGAATTTCTCTAATGAAATTTGCATGTATATTACCAAAGAAAAGTGATTCATATGAACATTTGAAATCTTTCTTTCCACAAATCCTAACGAAAAACTGCTAATGTGTTCAGCAAATATGTTGAGTTATAAGATGTGTAATAAGAACAAAAAAAATTATTTTTATTATATGTTTTAACAAGCTGGCAACTTTTAAAAATACCCATAAAAAGTATTATTTTTAATAAATCATGGTGTAACTCCAAATTAATTACCTTATAATAGAACGCATGCATATTATATATAACTCAGGGATGATTAGATTAAGAAGAAAACAATTCTGGTTGACCATAGCTCCTTGGATTGGTAGCCATACTATGCATTTTGATTTTAGTTTTGTCTAACTAAAAAGCATTTCTCTTTGGTAATTCTAACTGAAGCATGATTTTCAACCAGAAACTTGGAATATTCTTTGTAAAATAAGATCTTATGAATCAAATTTTTTTTTAAAAACCTTTCATTTTATCTAGATCTATGATCCTATAATCCTATAATCTCTATCTGAAAAAGAGGAAAAAAGATACTTAATAGCACCAAGAATAACCAAAACATATTTTCTTGTTTTATTCGCTAAATATAAAGGTTAATTCAAGGATTAATGAACTTGCATGGCACAGTTGGTATCTTGAAGATTTCAGGTTACCCAAATAGTATGAAAAGAAAAACCTTGTAAAGAGATTTTTAAAAAACGTATTAGGGTAACTCGTTATGCTTAGACAAAAAAAAAAGAAAAAGAAAAAGAAAGAAAAAAGTCTAGGATTTATGACAACTTTGAAATATTAAACAGGCACACCATATGGTCAATGCCAAGATTGTAGATAATGGCCTGTCAATTAAAAAGGAAGAAAAAGGAACTGCTAAAAAGAATGAGTTGCTTTAAAAAAAAAATCAAAATATGCTACAAGAGCAATGACCAATATACAGAGAGGAAACTTACATTTACATATGGCAATCCTAATGCGTATCGTTACTTCCACTTTATAAGGATCTATCTAAGCCTTGAGGAGTAAAATGACCTACCAGAAAAGCCAGAAAGTAATTGCTAGAGCCAATATTTGAGCCTAGATATTACTGTTCTAAGCCTAGGGCTTGGTTCTATTATACCTCAATAACTTTCATTAAAATTATTTTGGTTGAATCTGGAGAGCAATTTGGAACTATGTCCAAAGGTCTACAAAAAAGGGGAGGAAAGCGGGAGGGACCTACTTACACAAAAATGTTTATGGCAGCTCTTTTTGTGGTGGCAAAGAATTGGAAATTGAGGGGATGCCCATCAACTGGAGAATGGCTGAACAAACTGTGGTATATGACTGTGATGGAGTACTAGTGTGCTACAGGAAATGACAAGCAGGAAAAACCTGCTTTCCGAAAAACCTGCAAAGACTTAGGTGAACTGATGAAAAGTGAAGTGAGCAGAATCAGGAAAACATTGTACACAGTAACAGTAATATTGTATGATGAGCTATGAACAACTTGGCTATTCTCAGCAACACAAAGATCCAAGACAATCCCAAAGGAATCATGATGAAAATGCTATCTACTTCCAGAAAAAGAACTGATATTATCTGATTACAGACTGAAGCGTACTATTGTTCTCTTTCTTTCCTTTCTTCCTTCTTCCTTTCATGCCTTTTGAGTCTTCTTGTACAAAATGATTAATATGGAAATGTTTTACATGACTGCACATGTATAACCTATATCGAATTGCTTACCATCTTACGTAGGGGTAGAGAGGGAGGGAAGGAGGGATAGAATTTGGAGCTCAAAATTTTAAAAAATGTTAAAAATTATTTTAATATGTAATTGGGGGAAATAAAATATTATAAAAAAGTTTTTAAAATTATTTTGGTTGACAGTCTCGGGGCTAACAATTTCTTTGCAATCAAACCTTATGAGGACTGGTTGAAAGAACTGGTAACATTTAGCCTAGATGATGGAGGCAAGGAAGAATGAAGAATATGATAGCTGGCTTCAAGAATGTGAAAGAATGTCATATGGAAAAAGGATCAGATTTGTTCTCCTTAGCCCCACAATGTAAGACTAGGAGTAATGGATAGAAATTCTAGAAAGGCATTTTTAGCTTGATATGAGAAAAAAAAAATCTCTTACAATGAAAGCTAGCCAAAAATGGAACGGGATACTTTGGGTAGCAGTGGATTCCCTGCACTGGAATTTTTCAATCAAAGGCTGACTAATTACTTGTCAGGCATGTCTTAAGAGGGGATTCTCCCTCAGATATGGATCAGAATAAATGGACAGTGCCTCAGATTCCATGACCATATTCTTCACTAGTTCATTGTTTTTTGGGTGCAGCAGAGGATGTAGGCAGTTAAGGAAAAGCGCATTTAAGTGGTGGTGCCTGACATGATATATGAAAGAGGCTGGTTGTGTGGAAGAAATGAATTGGTATTTCCTTATTTCCCACCTGACTGCACTACTTTGACACGTGTCTGACTTTGCTCTCACATTGGGCACTTCCCCACCCCCCCCATATCCTTTTCAGCTTCCTCTGTGTGTGTTGTCTTCCTCCATTAAAATGCAAGTTCCTTGAGAGCAAGGGGCTGTCTTTCTTTTTTTCATATTTGTATGCATAGCACTTAGCAGTGCCTGGCACACAGTAGGCACTTAATAAATGTTGACTGACTATAGACTACTGCATTGGATTTTGAATTCCTGACACCATACCTCCACAAGCACATGGTTTTGTGCATCAACACATCCCGGCTAATTCTTCGAAGTTTTAAGTTGCCACATTTGGTAACAACTTAGAACACACCACCAACCACCAGTCTGTTGAAAGTCTCAATGGCTACACGTCTCCATGTAATAACACCACACAGGGCTGATCTCAAGATCCAAAGAAGTTGCTAACTGAAAAGCAGCATTATATAGTGAAAAACACACTGGATTACTAATAAGAGGAACAATGCTAGAATTTCAGTTCCCATATCTAATTACTTACGCATCCTTGGGCAAGTAACTGTGCTTTACTTTTTTTATCTACAAAAATTAGGAACTGCAGTGGTTGACTTTTAAGGTCCATTGAAGCTCTAAATCTATTATCCTATAATCCTAATATTTCTATTTGCAATTATCTAGGCCAGAATTCTTAACCTGGAATCTGTGAATTTTTTTTCTTTAATAATAACTGTATTTCAGTTATTCAGTTACATATTTCACTTTATTAACTTAAAAACATTATTCTGAAAAGGGATCCATAGACTTGACCAGACTGCCAAAGGGGCTTATGAAACAAAAAAGATTAAAACCCCCTGATCTAGATATCACCCTGGAACATTTACTCATACTTTCCTTAGCTTCAATCTAATGAGGGTGCAAATTCCTGCCTCTAATTTTCCTGATCCCTGTGATTCAGAACCTTGCTGCTGTTGTAAATTCATATATTCTTTACTTCCCAAGAAAACTTCTAGCCTCACTCAACAACTTTTCATATTTCCAGGTTCATTCCATCTGTCTAGATCCATACAGTCATCCACTGGTACCTAGCTCATTCCTCCTTCTTTCTCAATAAATTCAGCATATGATTCACAGTGTTCTTTTCCACCCCAACTCCTGTTCTCATACTTAAGGGACTTAAAACACTCATTTTAGAGATGAGAAAACTAAGGCCATAAAGGTTAAGTGATTTGCCCAAAGTCATAGCTGGGATTCAGACCTCAGACTCAAATCTTGAAAGTCCTCATTCCAAAACACTCTTTTCACTATGTCTTACTGCCTACCAGGTTGGTAAAATACAACTTGGGATTTAAACTTGATCATCTCTAAGATCTCAGTATAACAGAACTTCCCAATTCTAAGGTCCTGTTTATATCTAAATCTATGATCCTATACCTCATAAATTATCAAAAAAGGGGGGGCGGATTTAACAACTACTTTTCCTGAAATTTTTTTTTAATGCCCACTTCTGGATCAGGCACTACTTAACCACTGTTGTCAAGAATTTGGATGACAGATTAAAGAGAGCAGCCAATTACAGTGGCAACTCATTTAAGAACGAAAGAATGGGGGGGAGGGGGAAGATGCTTGGCCAATTGGAGAAGCAATGATTAACTAAGGAGAGTAAGTCTCAGTTGGGATAGGACAGAAGTTGTTTATGGAAGAAATAAAGATAAGCAATCAAGTCCGAGTATGTATTTGAGTATCTAAAAAGGTATTATGCTCTCTGTCTTAAGTGCTGCTAAGTATCTGAGAACATAATCAACCTCTGGACCCTTTAAATTTAAAAGTTTTGTGTGAACTGAACTTCTATATAGGTGGGGAATGTTGTATATTTATTCCATATGATTGTTTTATCAAGTGAATTTTTCTGTTATGAAGAAGGATTTCAATAGGGGTAGTATACTGGGAAATGACATAAAAAAAGGAAGCAATAATACTTTTTTTAAAAAACCTCAATGCTATAATTAGTGGATTATTTATCCCACAATCAAAATACCAACTAAACTGGTAGATATTACACACACACACACACACACACACACACACACACACACACACACACACACATACAGAGTCATATGTAGAATATATTGAGGGAAAAGCTAATATAGCAAAAGGGGAGGTTAGAGCCTTTTTATTGTGTACTTTGAAAATCCAATAATTCCTCTAAAAAACTACCTTGTTTTAAAGAATAGAGATGGACTACACAAAGTGGCCATTTCATTTTTAAAACAGAGAGGCCAAAATAAAATCTGACTACAAGTGAAATAATAATTGAAATAGGATAAGTCATTTCTATACCCTGAATAAAAA